CTTATAATGATTTAAAAAAAAAGTATAAATCAATTCTATATTTTTATTTCTAAAGTTGATCTTCTCATCTGTTGATGAAAATCAATTTTTGGTCCTTTTAGGTAAAAAACTTGTATCTCTTATTAAATGGAAAAGCACAATTTACCAAAGCTTAATCTATAACTTCATTTATATGTGTGACCTAAACAATGACCATATTAATGAATTCTTGAGCAATTATTTTTTATTTCCCTGAGAGTACCTGAAAGGCCATTTTGTCACCCCTTAAACTTAGATTCTAATTTAAAGGTTAAGTTTCAAATATTTCTTTAAAGAAACAGAGCTGTATTCAGATCTGAGCAGCTTATTTGATAATTTTTAAGAGTATCAAGATTGGCAGTTTCACTATGGACTGGCAAATTTTTTGATATCAATGTTAGAGGCTTACTTGAAGATTCTCCAGACTAAGAAAGACATGATGATGAAACTTCACCACCTAAATAATCTGAAATTTTTTGAATCCACTAATCGGTTCATACTATGAAAAGACTCAAACAGGAAACAAGGAATGTGTTTATATTCATGTATGTAAAGCTTATTAAGAAATTCTTAATAAAAATAATCATAAATTAATCATATAAATTCTAGATTTTCACCAACCATTAAGATATGTTTTTATGAGGGTTAATCATGTATATATTAAATGTTGAAAAAGCTCTACTATTCATAAATACTTTCCTTCAATTAACTAGAAATTCAATATTATCTCTAGACGATAATTAAAATGAAATGATATTTCTTTAGATTTAAATCATCTATTCGATAAGTTAGATAACAATATTAATTATTTTTTGAAGAAATTTGATAGACTTTGGAATTGAGGAAATTAAAAATGTTTAAATTTTATTATTTAAAATTGAAGAATCTATGAGTAAGAGCTTCGATTATATGTGTTAAAATAAATAAACTAATTAGGAGTTCAAGAATAAAACTTAATTATTCTCATAAACTTACACAATTAAGAAAGTAGATTGTGTTATGTTAAAGTGTCCTTGATATATTTTCTAATTTTTTACAAAATGAGAGAGAATGGAATTTCGAAGGTGAAAGAGTATTTTCATATTTAAATTAAGATTGACCATCTATTATTCTTTAAAAAAAGATATAATTAACTAAATTTTTATGAACAAAATTAATAAATTAAGGATTAATTTTATCAGATTGAATCCTAATTTTCTTATTACATTAAAATCTTTCTTAATTATATTATTATTTAATAAAAATATATTTAGGGCTAATTTAAAAGAAATCAAGCAGATTCTTAAGACTTCTATTTTCAAAAGTCTTCATCCAAAGTGTAACAAGGATTTGACTTCTCTCCACTAATTGGCCTTATAGAAGAGCAGAACCTTATTATACTGAATTGCTTTAGGCTGCCAAGTAAAGAGTATAGTTTTAGCAATTTCGTTAGTTAAATACAACTTTCTGAAATAGGAATGGGATCACTTGAATGAAAACAACAAGTTAACTAAATTGAAATTAATTTTATCTGAAGAAAAAATCTTTTAGATTACTTTTATGTAGACTTAATTATTTTAGAAGATAACCGGGTTAATCCGCTTTATAAAAGATCATAATTAAAAATTGTTCATTCCTAATAACAGAAAGCTAAAAATATTTACGCTACAGATTATGGATAAATATAATAAGAATATAGAAATATCAATATAGGGAGAAATATAACTTATATCTATCCCCAAAATAATTGCAACGGTTCATTCAATAAAATAATTTAATGTCTTAATCATTATGGATTTCATAATTTAAAGTTATAATATATAAAAATTTTGAATGTTAAAGACAGCTTAATTTTTGAAAGCCTTCCGATAAGTGATTGTACATTTTAATATAATAATTCGTAATACTATATATACAAAAAAATTTTCATTAGACTTCATTTTAACTTTGGGAAATTATAAGTAAGCAATGATCAATTGTTAATGATAAGATATCAAAATGAGTATGCTCATTCTTGAAATTATTTTTCACACCCTTCAACAGGCAGAAGCGGTTTAATTTATAGAATATTTATTGAATTAATTTATTAATTTTTTTTTAAATTCATGTATTTCATAAATAAGTAATATGGTTTGGATGATAAGGTGTTTAAAATATCTTAGAAAACTTAAGTGATGTAGAAATAATTTGTTAGATTCAATAAGATAGATAGCTTTGAAAAGAATACAGTTTCAGATTATAAATACTTGCCATCTAGGGTTTATTATATATGCAGGATAGGATAACTAAAATATTTTTTTGTATCTCAATTAATTGATATGTGCTGAGTAAATTCAAATTAGGGTTGTATGATTGTATTTATTTCAACCAGTTTGCTTGATTTTATGTATACAGTTACGGTTATTATAACAAATTAAAAAATTATTAATAAATTAATTACAAGTCCAAAAAATCTCTTCATAAAAATTTGTAAATAATTGTTTTCTCAGTTTTAATTGAAAATCCTATTGGAAAAACTAATGAAAAATGATATCCTTCAATAATACAATCATTAATTTGCTACTAATTAGATTTTTCAACTCATAATTAATACTTAAAGAAACATGTCTTAACTTTCTCGAATATAAACTAACTAATACTATTTTCCTTTTAATCTGAGAGCTCCTCGAACAAATAAATTTCTTGTATATACCTTGGTATGTAGGAACTTATTTTCCAAATCCCTCAAAAATACTATCTCTAAAACATACTTTCAGCAACTATTTTCTTACCATTTGAAACAGCTATTCTTTCTAAATGAAGCTTGTATATTGTATGATAAATTGAAATTAATATGTCATACCAAATGGTAGGATATAGAGGAACTTAGTTTAAAGTTCTAAGGGAATCATTTTTTGAGCTGACTACTACTATTTTGATTTGAATTTTTAGCTCATTCTACTTAAGTTATCAAGTACTTACTCTTAAGAAGATGGCTCGTTGAGAAGCAGAAAATTTATCCCAAAATTTCATATATATTGATTTTATTATCTGTTTGTAAAAAAGAAATCAACAAAAAGACAAACCATTTAAAAACGAGTATAATTAAAATTTCTTTAGTCCGCCTTTTTTTCATAAGTTTCAGATTATTAAATATGTTTGGTTTTCAAAAACAATTTGAAATCAAAAATTCTTAACTCAATCTTTGATTATTAGAAATTCAAAGATTTGAATTAATTTTCAAATTTAAACCTAAAAATACCTACAAAAAATGATGATAGATAATAGTTTAAAAAGGATAAAATCAATGAATTAAATTATGATTTACTATATCATTAGTCTTTTAATCCTCATTAGTTAAAGAAAATTATGTTTATATTAAAGCCTAAAAATAAATATGCAAACTATTATTTGAATTAAAAATAAGTAAGTTTAATATTTTACTCATTTAATTGTGAATGTTTGTAATTCTTCAAGAAATTCTAGCAATCTTCAACTTTTTCCTTTTTAAATATTCTAATGTGTCACCAAATATTTGTTCATCTACATCTTTAATTTAAGCCAAAATGTCAAATAAAGTTTCATTCCAATATATATTCCAATAAATTTTCTTTTTTATTTTTATTATTGAACTCTAACTTTAATTTAAATACTGCAAAATCAATAAAAGTATCTTTTTGCATTTTAATCAAAAAGAAGTTCAGACTTTGTGTAGATTTGGAATTTATTATAATTGAGGTAAAATATGTTATAGAGAATTCAATTCTTATTTTGAATTGCTTTATTCTTTAATCAAATAGAATAACAAATTTTTATATGAATACTCTAAATTATAAATAATTCAAACTTATTATTCTTTATAATTGCATGAGAAATTGTTATTCTTTCTCAAAATTGCTTATAAATGTTATAATTTCATAATCTTAAAATATAAATGATTTAATTAATATGTTCATTAAAAAGTCATTATTTTCTTTAAGAAAAGAACAATTTCGATTATATAAAATGTCATCTTCACTTTGATCAATTTTTGTTTCCATTATTCAAAATATTTTAGGAAGGATGCATATTAAAGTGTATCATAATATGAATCTTAATCTAGATATGATTTAATTTATCATTAGTTTGATTCTTGAGAAATTAGGTAATTTCTTAATGTACTAATTTAACTGTAATTTTTACAGCTTTGCAAAAATAGGCTGTTGTGAGGAATATTCTGTCTTGATATTTAATTCTGTTAAAATCTTCTTGATGGTAAAGTGATTATACATGAGTTATAATGTTTATTTTCTAAAGATAAGTAAAAAATTGTTGAAAGTTGCCTCTTTGGTTTTATGTAAGAATTCAAATAGAGCTAAAGTTAATTAGACTTATTGATGATGAATATATCTTTTAAATCTTTTAAATAATATCTAATACTTTTAATATCAATAAATAAATAATAATAATAAAGGTTATCGAAATATTATCTCTAAATTGTTACTTTTAAAAATCAATCAATTTAGCTGTTTTAACGTTTTTCTCATTTAGATTAAGTTTATATTTTAATTTATTGACATATCTTTTTTATTAATGTTTTATTAAATATATCTTTCCTTATTTATGAACTATAACATTAAATTATACAAAACTATCAATTATAATTTCAAGTACCAATTTCTTTTATAAATAATAATTTAATTTACTTTTCTTTTAGTAATTATTTCACAATTTTTAAGCCTCTTTGTTGTTACTTTTGTAGAGATTTAATTTAATGAAGTATCATTTAAATTTAAATCTCTACAAATATTAATTATTAATAGTATAATTAACAGATGAATAATTATTCCCTATTCCCTACACTAGATGAACCATATTTTTTTATAATATTAAAAGAAAAGATGTTTAAATTAAAGTATATTGGAATAATAATTTGGAAAAAATGTACTTATTTATAGAAATGAAGATGTAGAGTAGTAGTATTAAAGAAAATAAAAAATACTAGAAACTAATTGCAATTATAATTGTTCTGTAGTTGATAATAATCAAATTGACTATTACTTTAAGTCTTCTAAAAAGCAACTTCCTGATGATTTAAATAATTATCTTAAATTTTATCCTTCTTAATTTATAAAATCTCCTTTTAAGATTAAAGCTTCTTTAGCTTGAAATATTGCCTATTAGGATATAAGGAGAGTAGTAGTGCTAGTGGGAACTAAAAATAGGAAAATGTAAATATTACATGAAAGAGGACTATTTTATTGGAGTGGAATCTTAAATTATTTGAGAAGATCTTTGTAATTTTTATCGGAGTATTTAATTTCTTATCCTTTCTTTAAATTCCATAGTCGTATAGAATTCTCAATACTACCAGATGCTAATGTATTTCCATCAGGAGTGAAACAAACTGATATAACATAATCACTGTGACCATCCAATTTTCCTATTTATTATCCTGTTTTGACATCCCATAGACGAATAGTCTTATCTATACTACCAGATGCTAATGTTTTTCCATCAGGAGAGAAACAGACCGACATAACATAGTTACTATGACCATCTAATTTGGCTTTTTATTATCCTGTTTTGACATCCCAAAGACGGATAGATTTATCATAATTACAAGAAGCTAATGTATTTCCATCCGGAGAGAAATAGACTGAGGGAATATAATCACTATGACTGTCTTATTTGGCCTTTTATTATCCTTTTATGACATCCCAAAGACGGATGGAGTTATCATAACTACCAGAAGCTAATGTATTTCCATCAGGAGAGAAACAAACGGATAAGATTCCACTAGTATGACCATCCAATTTGGCTTTTTATAATCCTGTTTTGACATTCCATAGACGGATTGAGTTATCCCAACTGCCAGAAGCTAATGTATTACCATCAGGAGAGAAACAGACTTATTTAACCACATCGCTATGACCATCCAATTAGGCTTTTTATTATCCTTTTTTGATATCCCATAGACAGATAGAGTTTGCTACACTACAAGAAGCTAATGTATTTCCATCAGGAGAGAAACAGATTGATTTAAAATAATCATTATGACCATCTAATTAGGCTTTTTATTATTATCCTGTTCGGACATCCCAAAGACGGATAGAGTTATCAAAACTACTAGATGCTAATGTATTTCCATCAGGAGAGAAACAGACTGAGTAGACAGTTCTAGTATGTCCATCAAATTAGTCTATTTATTATCTTGTTTTGACATCCCAAAGACGAACAGAGGTATCCCAACTACAAGAAGCTAATGTATTACCATCAGGAGAAAAACAGGTTGAGTTGACATTGTGAGTATGACCTTCCAATTTGGCCTGTTATTATCCTGTTGTGACATCCCAAAGACGGATGGATTTATCATAACTACCAGAAGCTAATGTATTTCCATCTGGAGAGAAACAGACTGACATAACTAAATTAGTATGACCATCTAATTTAGCTTTTTATAATCCTGTTTTGGTATCCCATAGGCGGATAGACTAATCATCACTACCAGATGCTAATGTATTTCCATCAGGTGAAATACATACCGAATTCACACAACTACTATGACCATCTAATTTATTCAATTCATTTATTTTAATGTTCTTCCATTAACAATTAAACATCTAAGCGCCATTCAAGTTGACTCCACTAATATCTACATTGTCAAACTCAGATCCACTCAAGTTGCATCTAACAAAATTACCTCCAATTAAAGAAGCATTCTTGATCCTGATATTTTCAAAGCATTAATTCTTGAGATCTACCTTCATGTCTACTAATAAACTTAATCCATTCGACCCACTTTAAATAAATTTTCCATCTATGCTGGTAATAAGAACTAAAAACTTGATAAAATCTATGATCCCCTTATTAACCTTCTTCTTTATTAGTTCTGATCTTGTCTTTTCATAAATCTCAGAAGAATAGTCATTTTAATTAAATTTATGATTCTAAATATTGTTCAAAACATTTGTGATTTTCTTTATTTACTTCTTTACCTCCTTTATATTTTCTTGCTTATTGATTAGAGATTCATACAAGTTTTGATTTTTTGCCATCTAAATGAATCCAAAGATGTCTGACACTTTTTCTCTTCTAAGTATTTCAAGAATCTTCTTATAGAGAGTTTCATCTATATCCTGAAGGTAGGTTAGCATTTCAAATAAATCTGTTTTCGTAAAATAAATATCTTCCTCTACTTCCCTAGAAATATGATATAAATACTTACTTTATTAAAGATTTTAACAGTTCAATTCCTTCCTTTAACTTTTCTATAGAAGCATGAATGTGATGGTCCCACCATTTTTTGGTCTCATCTAACTTCATCATATAAGAATTCTTTGAATCATTCCATTCATCTAAAGTTGTTCCTTCTACAATTTTGACTAATTTTTCTATATCAGCATAGGAAGATTCAGCTAGATTGGTATTTTCGTTGATGAGATTGTAGAATAATTGGTTTTCCTTTTCAATCAGATCATAAACTTGCTTTATTGATTGTGATAATCCTTCCCAAATTTTTTAGAACATCGACTCCGTTTGAGAGAGCAAGGATTTAAAAGCCCCTCTCCATTTGGTTAACTCTGATGATGATTCACCAAACTTTACTTCTGTTAATTTCTTGTTAACCATTTCTCGAAATTTTTTAACTGATACTATATATTTTGGATCCACTCCATGTATATCTTGACATTCAGCACAAAGTTTTCTCTAACATTCACATTTATGAGGAGCTCTACAGATCAACGATATTTGATTTTGAAAATGAAAAGTGCAATTCATTATATTTTATTTTTAAAATCGAATTTCTATTACTTTAAATTTAAATTATATATTGCAAAATTGATAAAAATAACTTATGAATTTTTGGAAAATAAAAGTTCAAACTTTGCGAAGATTTGGTATTTATTATAATTGAGGTAAAATATGCTATTGAGAAATCATTTCAATATTTGCATTACTTGATTTTTAATAATATAAAATAACTAATAATTATATGAACAATGTAATTAATACTTAGTTTGAGTTTTATGATTGATTAATTCATTTTTCAAATCTAATCCTTATTTTAAAAGCATATATATTTGTAAATTTTTCAGGTAACTTTTAAAACATTGGAATATTATAGTTTAATATAAATTGTTAGTTTTCAATAGAAAATTTAAACTTTAATATTATTGTATTAAGTAACCTTATGTTAGATAAAAGGCATATTTTTAAGAACTCTCATAAATTTAAATTTAATACAACAGGGAAAAGAGCAAACCTTTTATACTATATGAGTTATTACTGATCTTGCTCTTCTGTTCTCCTTGATAATTTTCTTCAACTTAAAGAAACACAGTGGGTTTTACTACCCACTATGAACCCATGCTCCTGTTTAAATAGAGGGCACATGTAGCACCTGTCTCAAACTTATACTTTGGTGCTAAAACTATCGGAACCATATTTAAAAAACACTATCAGTTGCTCTCCCAAAAACTATCTGTAACACACCAGTCGCAACCCGACAAATCTTAGGGGGGAAAAATGAACTTTTGTGAAAATTGACTCATTTTCTTTGTTATTGTGAATTATGTGATGTTGAAACTAGCTTTGAATTCATTTATGATGAGTAGAATATTTTTGATTTATATTTTTAGTCCAAACCCTTAGCTTTCCTGGAAAGCGAGAAATTAGTATATTTATATTCTTATATTCGATTAGTGATTGGGTTCGATAGGATGATGTCAAAAAATAGCGAAATATTTTTTGGAGATTTTAGGGGGTAAGAGTTGGAGAGAGCTTTTTTTTGGCTCTTCAAATTAATCGTGAGTGTTAAGCGAGGTATGAAATAAACTTTTTGTTTCCATAGTCGTGTAGAGTTGAAGTACTTATTCTTTTTTCAGGGAGCAGAGATCATAATTGCGAGCGAAGTGAGGTTGATGTAATTATTTATAATTTTAATATTTATTGATTCAATTTCTTCTCTCAAAGATCTAATCTAATTCTTTTTGTTGTTTTTTATATTACTCATTTGTGTCTATCTTTAATGATTTTACATAATATATCAAAATTTCTTTATATTTTTATTAATCCCTTATGAATGATATTAATTAAATATAAACAATTTCCTAAAAATTACTAATATTAGGACCCTTTAGCTTATAGAGAAGGGATATGTTGTTGATCACTGGATAGTGCTTAATCAATTTTAGAGATTCATTATATTTTTTCAATAGTCTTACATTTAATAATGTTAATACTAATTTTGTAAAATTTTTATTTAATGATCCTAGAAATTAAATAATCAATAGTTGATTAATAAACATTCACCTATTAATTAAATTAGGATTCAATAAACTTTATCACACAAGGAATTAACATGCTTAGGGCAATAACTAATGCTTTGTTCATCCATTAGATTGCTTCCTCAATAATTTAAAAATTTAATTAATTATATTATCAATAATAAATTAATAAACATTCACCTATCTATTATTTATTATTTTCACCTTTAAATCATTAAGAATCATTATTTTTAGGGTTTTATAATATTGATTTATATAATATTACAATGGCCTATGCATACATTTACATAACCAAATTTAACTAAATTTTTCATTTATTAATAACCTAAGAATAATAAATGTAATATAATTAATACCTTGTTAATATAATTTGTCCATACATAATAATTAAATGATGATATTTATTTAAAATATACTTTATAATTAAAATATTAAATGAAGTATAATTATAATTATTGATATAAATTATTAAACGAATTAATTAATTGTTTAGTCTATTATAAATGACTGTTGTAATTAATTTTTTATATTCATTAAATTTAATTTTAGAATTTAAGAAATCAACTATTAATTGAGAATTCAAAAGTACGAATCTTTCTTTTTTAACATAATCAATATTCTTATCTGATTCCCATTTTTAATTAAAAAATTATTCAACATTTTCTACTTATTTATTAAAATTATCAATCAAATTATCACATCTTTATTTTTATTTTCGATGCATTCAATCAAACTATTGATATTTCAACATGATCTAAATGATCATGATGGATTCCTCCTTTTTTTAACATTAAAAACAATTTTTCTGAATTCTGTACAAAATTAATTGTAATAAATTATATCTATCTCTAATTATCATCCTATTAACATTTTAACTTTAAATTCAATTACAAAATCATTTTTTATTTTTTATTTCTAATCTATATTCATCACACCACTATTTAAATTATCTTAATTCTATTAAAAGTTATTTTTATGCCAAAGACTTATATTTATCCAATTAGTAGCCCATAAATATATTAATTTAAAAATAAATATCTTTATTTAGTTGATCTCTCTTTTTAGTCTATATTAATTAATCACTAAATTTCTAAATAAAATAATATAAAGAAATAATTTTTAAAACTTCTTTTTCTATTATTCTTTAAACTTTATTCTCCTTATCTTATTTCAATATTCTATAGATTGCTCTAATTTGATTCAACTTCAATATCAATTTAACTTGAGTATATTTTGAATGAGTAAGCTAAAGTTTGATTTATAATAAATCTTTTTGTTAAGTACTATTTCAACTCTTTATAACTTTTATTCTATATGATTATACAATTTAATTAGCAGATAGATGATTTACAATTATTTGAGTTAAATCATGTTTCTTCATCATATAAACAACAGCTTTAATATAAATATCTAATTTTCATATAGAAATCTTTTTTATATTATTTGATTTTTCCCTTATTAATTTTATTTTTTTTAAATCTTTCACTTTATTTAAATATTGATGAAGCCAAACGTAGATCGAAAGTGTTAGAACTATATTAAGCTAGAGTTTATGATTTGATTATTTTGTTCTGAATACAAATTTTTAAGGTTTTGAGAGTTAACAATTAAAATTTTTTCTTTTACATCTAACTCTCCCAAAAAGTCAAGAAAACTAATTTTCAAAAAAAATTTTTCTTCTAAAATTAAATCAAAAAACAAGGTATTAGTAAATTCAACTACACTTAAAAGTTTGAAAATTTCATTTATAATAATATAAACGTTAGCTTGAGTGTGTAATTGAAAAAATATTTAAATATTTAAATATCAAACAAATTAAATAACAATGGTTTTACATCTTTTCTATCTCTTATTTGATGAATTACATCTTTTGGCCAAATAATATAACCATAAATTTGAGTTTTTTTAACACTTTTATTTCAAAAAGAGAGGTCTTCGAAATTATAGTTTAATAATTGAGATCAGAATCACAAATATCAATATTTGAATGGACATTTGATGAATATTTGAGCTTCATTATTACTTTAGTATTTTCCAAACACTAAAATGGAACTCAAGTTAACTCTAAAAATGAAAAATTGCTCTATAAACTAATTCTTTTGTTAATTATTTTTATGATTAGTATTTTACATAATAATTATATCCGATATTCTATTGATGAACAATATATTTTCAATCTTTGTTGAAATACTAATACAAAGTTTGCTTACTGTTGATTTCATATATGATGATAAGTTACAAACATAGAGATACAAAAGATAGAATGATGAGGTGCACTACCAACAGTCTATTTATTACTAAAATACTTTTTCTTTTTTTTAATTTTGACCGTTAAGCGAGGTACAACGTATCTTATTAATTCAATAGTCATGTTTTACTTATTCTAAATACTTATTTCTTTTCGAAATAAGCAAGGTATAATTATTAACTTATTATTTCGTCATCGCGAATATATATTTTAAGGTGATATTTATATTAATTAGGATTCTCATCATTTTCTGATTTTTAATAAGAAAATTATCGATTAAAACGTCTTAAATAATGCGATTTTAATATTGCTAAGGGGCACATCAGGATTTATTTAAATAGATTATGTATTTTTCTCTAAAACTACTAATTTCTTTATTTTTTAAATTACGATCGTTAAGGGAGGTAGAGTATATTCTGTTATTTCATCAGTCAAGTTATTTTGAAGATATCTTTTATATATAATAATGAATAAATCTTTTTTTAAAATAAGAAATATTTTTTAGATATTTTATAAATATATGTCTAAACCCTTGATTGAGGATATTAAGTCATTTTAGATTTAATTGTAAAGTATTTCTTGGATATTTAATAATTAGTCTCAAAAAAGTTAGTATTTTGTACTCTTCTTTTCATTAGTTTGTCAAACTATGAATAATACCCTTTAAAATGAATATCTTACCACTAATTTTATAGACTTAAATTAATTCATCGATATAGTATTTTCATATGTGATATTAATTTTGAATATAGGATTTTATATGATTATTAATAAATTTAAATTAAATTGACAAAATCTTCTGATGGAATTTTGGCATTCCTATATAATGAAATATATATTTCTATTATTTTCATTCTGCTGATTGACAATTTAATTATTCAATATGCAATTTTTTAATAGATATTCTGTAAAACAAATATATAGGGAAAGCATTATCGTTTATTTATGCTTAAGTAATTTTTTCCATAAAAATTAAAAGTACGTAAATTATATACATTGTACTATAAATAATGATGCTTGTTTAACATCTATTAATCACCTGACCGTGTTTTAGAATATCAATAAAGATAACTTATTCATTTGTATATTTTATTTTTATTTTATTAAAGTTTGTTTTTATATAGTTTTAATAGTCTCAACCATACTTGCTAAGTAATGAGAAATTAATGGACTTTTGTAAAAATTTAGAAAAATATAGGTAAATCTAAAGGAAAATATGTCTATTTCTTTTCGACTATGATTAAGTAATCAATTTTTTATATAATATTAAATTTCAGTTTGCATAGCCAGTATCTTTAAGCAAATTAATGAACATAATATTTAGATTCCTTCCAAGAAATGATGGGTACATATAGATAATGCAAATAAATCAATTTAAAATAGGAAAATCTTAGGTAAAATATCATTGATTTTTTCTGAATTTAAATTCTTACATCACAAATTACAATTGAAAAAATATGTAAAGTATCTTAGAACTCTAGCAAAATATACAGATATAACTTGAAAAACTAGATTTATGTTAACGTATTAGATGTAAGGAGTTTAGAACTTATAATTTCAAATTATTATATGACTTGCAATAACTCCTCTAGTTAATATTTTCAGTAGGATTTAAACTATTATTTTTGGATTGGGACAAATATGAATAGTTAAAAATGTAAAGAAATTTAGGAAGATTTTAGAAATTATTGAAGATTGGCATATAATCAAATACACGAAGAATTTTAAATGAAAAAAAACTGAATTGAAAGAAATTTTTAGTTATGCCTGGAATGGTTTAAATTTTAAACGAAGTCATAAAATATTTTAAAAATATTTTCATAATATAGCTTCTACAAAAAAGTAAATTTTATCAGAAAGGATCATTAAGATGAAAAGAAAGAAAATTAATATCAAATTTTGAATAAGGAATTTATTCTGTATATATCGTTAATTGGAATAGAGGTATAAAATGTGTATTGGTTAGAATTTAGAAAATTCGGTAAAAAATGTTAGCAGATTGCACTTGTTATTTCTGTTCACAACATCTCATTTTTGAATTAATAAATACCTTAGGCCTTGGTAAAATTTGGGATTAAGGAATTAAAATAACAAGATTAATGTAATATTTATTCATTTAAAATTATTGATTAATTATTTATTTTATAATTAATAGAAATGAATAAAAAAATTTAAGAATTAAAATACTTCTTAATAAATTACAGAAAGATTTTAATATGAAATAAATTTATTTTAGAAAGGGTTTTAGTTTATGAAATATCTGAGAGAATGCTTGATTGTATCTAATTTTTAATTATGAAATGATTTTATTATGCAGTCTATTATAACATATTAGAGAGTGTATTATAAATAAAACAATAATCGGGCTATTTTTAATTGATTAATATTATATTTTTATAAGTGATTATAGAAATTAATTATGAATTAGAAATATTATTAAGTCAATCGAAGTGATAATTTCAATAAATTTAGCAATACAAATTTGAATGCTCGAAAATGTTAATAGAAATAAATTAGCAAAATTCTAGTATTTCATTTAAAGGAATATTATAGTAAAGGAAATTTATTATGTGAATATCTTTGCTAGTTGTTCTACCAAAAAGATTTTAAAGGATATTAAATTGCTAGGTAGTGACATATCTATTCATGAGCTATGAAAAGTTATACACATATATATTAAGTGACAAAGATTATACTTTAGACAAATGTAATATGTCACACTCTTATTATAATCTCATTATTGAGTTTCCTTAATATTATTCATTTTTAATAATAAAAAGATTTTAATTTATAGGGATATAATTTGTAAATAATAAAGAAATAAAATTCTAGTTTTAATTCTCATAAATATAAAAATAAAATCCCTTAAATTTTGAAGGATATGAAATATATTAATGAATAATCAATAATATTTTTATGTCCTAAATAAAAGGATATTAAATTGGGTCTTCAAATATAATAATGATAAATTAATAGATTGTATATATAGAAAGGATGATATTGTACATATTATAATATGATATTAAAGGATGAACATAATTACTAATGATGAAATAATTGTTGATGAGTTTTGTATCAAATGTACTTTTGGAATAAATTAAACAAATTATATATGTCAAAGAGATTTATTTAGTATAAACTACTAAATGATGGATTAGAGATCATCTAAGAATCTTAAATAAGATTTTTATTTTACTCTAATTATTTATTATTTAACCATTTCCATTTATATATTGATTATATTTCTTAAGTTAACTGTTCTCTAATCTTTTTAAATTCATTTATTTATATTTTATTAAAAAAAATTATATCTGAAAGCAAAGTTTCCAATTTCTATTTTTCAAGTTTCATCTAAAGATTAAATGATCTTATTCATTTTTCTATAATTAAATATTTCATATACCTATGGACACTTTTTAATTTTGAAAAATAACTCCTAATATATTAATTGAATCTTCAATTATGAGTATACTCTATTAGATATCTTCTATCTGAAATATCTATGAAGAAAACTATACAATCCCTGAGGACTATTCATACGTCTTGTTTTAAAATGAGAATATGATTTTCTTTTTGATTAAAAACCCATAAAAGACAAGATCATCCCTAAATATAAATTGAATATAGAAAAAATTATATTAATTTAAAAAGTGACATCCCAAATATTTATTATTAATAAGATGTATGGTTGTTATGTTTCCAAGAAAATATAGAAAAAATATAAACTTTTCTTTATGTTCATTTTCTTATTAACTAAGAAAAGAAATTCTAACCTTGGATGCCGAATAATGGTAGGATTTCAAAAATGGTTCTATAATAAATTTTTAGAATCATCTCATTTAAATATATACAAAGTTAAAGGGTTATCAGATCTAAATTTAGAAATTTTAGTGTTTAAGATCTACTCTCCTAAATTAAAATTCTTTAAAGAATATATAGAAACGTTCATGAATTTAGTAAGAGTTTGATGAAATTAATAACAGCAATATTTAATGGATTTTAATTAAAGTAATAAAGTGCCTCAAATACTAATTTATGAGTCATTAAATAAAAAGTAGGAAACACAGAGCAGATTATCTCTTGATTTAATAATTGTTAGAGTCTGGACCAAATTCTAGAAATTATATTTTATTTAAATTTTTATTATTTATTACTACTTTTTTAATTTTATTTAAAAAAAAAGAGATAAAAAACTCATAAGGACAATATAAGAAATTATATTTCTTCTCATAAACTATTTCTAACTCTAAAATAATAATTTTAAGTTACAGAATAATTTAGAATATCTTCTAACAAATCATGAATCTTCATAATAACCTTATTAGTTGTTCATTTAATTATTTAATAAGGTCTTAATGATGTCTATTCTTTCAGAAAAAAAAATTTCTTTTTTGAAGAATGCTTCATTTCATTCTGCTTAATTTTATAAATAAATGATATAATAATAGTAATCCATTAATTTAATTATTATTAATGATAATAAATAGAGACTCCCAAAGTTTAGCTGATCATTTTATGAATTTATTCATTTTTTTGATAATAATTTAACTTCCTATTATTATACCTTCAACAGATTCATTTTAATAAATTATACTATGATTACATCGAACCAAATTTATAAAGCAATTATAAGTTTAATTCATTTAGATATAATTCTTGGTTAATCATGATCTTTCTAAAGCTTTTAAATAATTATCTTGTTTTGAATTCTTGATAATTTAATTTTATACATTTCCTTAACAAAAAATTAATGGAGTTTGACATTATGTGGCAGAAAATTTATATTACTTTCTTAAATAATATTCACTTGTTTAATTACGCATTTGTTTTACAAAAAAATTTGCAAAATTTTAAAATTGAAGTTATTCTTAACTATACACTCTAAATAAAATTTCAAAACCTACTTCAAACCTACAAAATAATATGGTAAACAAATATAAAATATTAATTCACCTTTTCAACCTATTTTTTATATTTTAGTATATATATCTATGAATTCAATTATATTATTTGATTTCTTTTATTTTTATGAATCCTTACTATACTTTGTTTTAATCTCTCTTCATCTTCATCCTTACAACAACCTATTTACCATTTTTATATCATCCACAATACAAATTCAAGAAAGAATCCAACATTTCCACTCATTAACCTTACTTCAGTTGATCACCTTGTTCTAGTTCACTGTAATAGAACATTTTTTCCATATAATTTCCTCTATACATAATATCCATCCCATTTCAAACTTTTTAACCATTTTTATATTCATCATTGTATATTATTTAAGAAACGAATTTGAAATTATCTGATATTTCCACCCTGCTTACCTAAATAATTTCATCATCTTTATCATCATATTATCCGCACCCACTTAAATAAAAAAGTTTATGATCACCACAACACCCACTATATATACATCCTATATACAAACTTTTTCCTCATTATTATAAACGAAACTAAAAGTTATATTTCTCAAGTCTTGAAACTCCTCACCTAATTTTACCATTTACCTTTCTTCTAATTATATTCATTGTATTATCCCTCTCCTCTACCTAAAAAATATTAATAAATAGTTTTTTTAAAATAGATTTAATTCCATCTCCTGTATATTTAATCATTAAAATATTCTCCACTTTCTTATACTTAGGCTTGATTATTTTGATATTTTTATTTTATTTTTACTTTCAAAAATTCTTATTTAATTAATTTATTCAACTAGTACCCACTGACTTTCAAAATGGCATGCCCCTTTCAAGTTACTATCCATTTACCTATATTTTCTTTTGTTCAATCCATATTCACCTTAACATTTAAAACATTAGATCTCTTCCATTGAAGTCAAAATTTATGGATTTCTAGTATCGTCTTAAAAGAATTCCTTCAACTAATTATAACTTGCTATAAATTCTTAAGAAAAAACATTAATAAATAAGTTAAACAATCTGAAATATCCTATTCTAATAATTTTGATCTACATAATTAAAAATACTCACAGTTAATACAATAATTTCTTTTATTTTAATAGAATTATAGATATATTAAATTTAAACTTTAGTAATTTTTAATTTTAAAAAAGATTTTGTTTGGTAAAATATATGTTTAAATTTCAAATCCCAATCTCAAACCTTTACATTAATAAAATTAAATTTGAGTGATGCTAATTAATCTTTTCTATTATCATCTTTGTCGTTTTGGTTCATAATTATACAAGGAATGTATTCTATTTCCTTATATGGCAAGATAACTTTATAACTTAAGACTTCTCCATCCTTTTTGTAAATACTTAAAGAATTTAATGAGGTGTCAAAAATTAAAACACAATATTCTTCTTAAAAATTTTTAAATATTGTTTTAGTAGGAATGATGTTGGAAGTAATTTTGAAAGCTTTCTAATCCAAAAAAAAAACTGGAAGATCATTGCTAAATTATTAATCTATTTCTTTTCCCATAAAATTGAAATAGCCTTAGCTGTTTCTTTTATCAACTAAACCAAAATATGAATTTCCTTTAAATAATCTAAATTTATGAATACTATATTACTTATTAATGTACAGCGCTAAAATTAATAACCCACCCTTGAAAGCATCTAGTTTAAATTTTAATATACTACAATTTTCATCTTAATCTAAAATTGTCTAATAAATAAACTTTCTAAATTACGTGTTTATTTAAAAAATTCTCTTATTAATCTCCTTGATGGATTTAAATTTAATAATTTTACAATATTTCTATTTATAATGAAGAAATCTCTTTTTGTGCCTAATTTAGTTTCTCTCTCAATATACTATTTTATTTTTCTTATTGGTTTTTTTTCTTCAACTCTTCATTGTTATTATTTTGACTTTAATATTTTTTCAATTATTTTTCAAATTATTCTGCTTTCTATTACTCTTGCTCTACTTATTTTTTAAGCAAACTAATTTATTACTACAATTTTTTTTTGTTTGTTTAATACTAAATTTCATTATATTTTAAATTTTTTATTTGGTTTTCTAATTCATCATTTTTAAATTGAAAATTTATTTGCTCAAAATAATTCTGAAATTATTTTTATAAATTTTTATATTTTAGCATTTATTTACATATACTTTTAAGTTTTTATTAATTTTCATTTGATAAATTATTTCCTGATTAACCTTTTATTGATTTTGCCATTATTTAAAAATTTGAGATTATTCTACTAATTAAATAAAGTTTTTGTAAAATTAATGGATTTATTCTCTAAATAAATTCACGATTTTAAGAAAGTATATTTAAAATATGTTCATGCATTATTAGTGTTAACTTAATTTTTGGATTAAATTGTGTAAAAACATTTTATATACTTTTATCAACATCTAATAATTGTTATATATATTCAGCAATTTTCTTTTCTTAAACACAGAGGTCACTATTTATTAAGGAAGGTAAATTCAATAAGTTTCCAGCTTAAGATTAAACTTATAGAATATCCATTACTTTTTAATTCTATTATTCAATATAAGTTGCTAGGCCTGTTAATTATTTTTAATTTATTTTGAATTATTCTTCAACTTGATCACTTAAATTATCTATTTATGTTTTTTAATGAGAAATTGCTGATAATATATCTTACATATTCAATTCTGAATTTGTTCCTTAAAAAGTTGAATCAACTCCTAATAAAGTTTTTAAATTTTCATTAGCAACTAAATTATCTGATTAATTTATTAATTTTTCTATTGATGATTGGTTAAAATAAAAATTGAAATCCCATTAATATAGATTAATAACTATCACTTTATTATTTTAAGATGTTATTTTTATTTTTAATTTTAAATCCTCCCATCTATTTGATTCAGGCACCTCCAAATTTCCTCTATAAATATAAGAACCATTTTCCTCAGTAAATGTGATTTCTTTTTCTTATTAAAAATAATTCTATAAAAAGAAATAATTATCCTTAATAATTGAACTTTTTTCTTTAAAGCAAAGTATTATTTAATACTATTAATTTTTGTGATATGCAAAATATCTATCTTAACTCTGTATTTATATATTATTGCTTTTTTATTTCATATAAAAATAAATGTTATAAAGAAATGAAAATTTACAAATTTATTAAAAAAAATATTCTATTTAGTTATTTTACTGCTTTATTTATGATGAAAATAGATTCATTATAATTTTTTAAATTTCCACATCTTATCGATTCAGTTTGAGCTAATAAGAGACTTACCAACAATAAATCGTAACATATATTGCTTTTTTTTAATGAATATCATTCTTAAAATGTTAAACTGTTTCTATTCTGAATTATTGAAATTACATGTTGTTCTTCCTAAAATCACACATTTTCGTTCAAATTTCTTTTGAGCTAATTGTTACTACTTATATTTAATAGTTTGAAATCTTTACTTTTTAAATTAAATAAAATTTTTTTCAATTTTAATTTCAATAATTTCACATAAGTTGCTATCGAATTCCATTTATTAAATATAAAAAATACGCTAAAATTTTAATTAAGTGCTATTTTTTGTTTATAAAATTAAAA